TGGAAGAAAAACTAGGAATCTCCCTATAAAGCTATCCTTACCTCAACTAGCAAAACCCCCTGGTCCTCCTTATTAATGTTCATACTCTCTCTTCAACAAAATTAGAGATAAGGGCAAAACAGTATTTGCTTGGAAGCGAGGGGGTGGGGGCGAGAGTGAGGGAGTAGGGGGAAAGGGAGGGGGCGGGGGGAAGGGGGGAGTAATGACCCAATCATTGTATGAACATATGAATAAAGGAAATAAAAAAAAATCTTATTGAGGTAAAACTCACATAACATAAAATTAACCATTTTAAAAAGTGAATTAATTCAGTGCATTTAGTACATTTGCAACATTGAGAAACTACTATCTCTATCTAATTTAAAATGATTATAACTCTAAATTTACCTTAAGTACTGAAACAAAACTGTACCTTTATGACTATAATGTTGCACACATAATGGATGCTCAATAAAGATGGAATCATGACAGTTGAAAAGAACACTGTGGATTACTTTCCCCTCTTTTTATTACCTAGCTTTGGGAGAAAAGGGGAATTAGCTTAATGTTCTGGGTAGGCTTATGCTACAGTTCAAGTGTTCCCTAAAGGTGTTACAAAGCTTGTTCCCCAACTCAGGGTGCTACTGGGAGGTGGTGGAAACTTAAAGAGGTGGGGTAAAGCAAGAGGTCTTCATGCTATTGGGGGCATGCCTGGAAGAAGATAGCTGGATCCAAGACCATTCTTCTTCTCTCTTTTGCTTCCCAGTTATAGAAGTAACTGGTTTTTCTCTGTCACACATTCTGGCCAATATATGTGGCCTCCCCACAGGTCTAAAAGCAACAGAGCCAACTGATCATGGACTGGAACCTCCAAAACTGTGAGTCAAAATAAACTTTTCCTCTTACAAGTCGATTATCTCAGTTATTTGTTATAGTAACAGAAAGTTGACTGACACAGCTTATCACAGAAAGGAAACATAGAATAGATCTCTTCCCAAGCTTACATTTAAAGAAATGGACATTCTGGAATCAAAATTTATAATTTGGCTTTTGCAACATTTACTTAACAAATATTTATTAAGAATTTACTGCCAACCATAGTGGTGCATGCCTGTCATCCCAGCATTCTGAAGGTTGATGCAAAAGGACAGGAGGATCAAGGTCAATGTGGGTTATACAGTAAAAGTGTGTCTCAAAACCAAAGTATTTACTGTATGTCATGAACTGTTCTAAGCACTGGGGGATGCATCATTGGACAAAGTAGGCAAGATTCCTCTTCCAAAGCTTATATTCTAATAGAGAAAGTGAGACAATAAACAGAACAAATAAATCATTTAACATTTTAAGAGATGGTAAATGCTGTAGAAAAAAAAAAAATAGAGCCCAGGTAATAAGATCAGAAATTCTGGATAGACCTACATACCTGTCATAGGGTGGCTGAGAATGGAGAATCATGGTTCCAGGCCAGCCTGGGTAAAAAAGTTTGTGAGACCCCAACTCAACAGAAAAGGCTGGGAATGGTGGTGTGGGCCGGACATCCTAAGCTACTGGAGGAAGCATAAATGAGGAATGAGGTCCAGGCTGGCAGAGCAAAAAGTGAGACTCTATCTCAAAAATAACCAGAGCAAAAAGGGCTAGGGATATGGTTCAAGTGGTAAAGCACCTGTCTAGCAAGTATGCACCCCTGAGTTCAAACTTCAGTACTGCAAAAACAACAACAATTAAAAAAGAGGGAATGTTTACTTTGGTTCATTGTTTCAGAGGTTTCAGTCCATGGTCGCTTGGCCCTATTTGTTTTGGGCCTGTGGTGAGGCCTATATGATAGTAGGAATGTGTGGTTGAGGATTCTTATTAGCCTCAGGTGGCAGAGAAGCAAAGAAAGAGAGAAAGAGCTGAGGGCTCACTATCTTCTTTAAAAGCATGCCTCTAGTGACCTAACTTCCTACTAGGTCCCACTCCTAAAGGTTTCACAATTCCAATAGCACAAGGTTCCAACAGCAACCAAGCCTTTATCTGATGGGTCTTAGGAAACATTTAAGATCGAAACTGTAACAAGGAAGAAGATTTAACTGAGCTATCACTTTACCAAATGAGCATGATGAAGCAAGAGAAAGGCAAAGAAACAGTATGTAAAAGTGATTAGAATAACTGACTATAGAAAATCAGGCTGAATGAAGAGGGAAGAGAGGACATTAAAGAAATGAGGCAGAAAAGATAACAAAATCAAAACATTACAGATCTCCAGAAGGCTTGAAGAATTACTAGACGAAGGAATGAACTAGAGAGAGAAGAGGTGATGGTCAGAGAGTAAGATGCATGACATGAGAACATGAGGGACTTATAGCAATAAGGTGGAATGGGGCGAAGATCCTTGGAGGAGTTCAAGGAAATGAGAGCCAATGTATTGAAAGAATCATCTGTGCAGACACTGGAATTATAAAAAAAGAAAAATTAAGACTGAAATAGCTGTAGAGATAATGACAATGACCCAAAAGATAAAAATTAACAAAACATCAAGAGTTAGAAAAGGAGTTGGGGATGGGGTGAGGGGTAGAAAATGACTACAGTATGAATTCAGAGTTTGAGCATTATAAGGGAAATAGGAAATAATCACGAAAGCAGAAGATACATTCCAGGCAATATGGAATAAGATCTGTGGAAGAAAAACAACCACCTCTTGACAGAACTTCATGGAAGATAATGTCCTCAGGAAAGATGTAGGTCTCTCATGAGACCAAAAGATTAAGGGACTCTTCCAGGGAAGAGATGGAAGAAACAGCTAATTTTGCTAATGATGTACCATGAATTGCTGCAGGCATACTGAAGAGTTTCAAGGGGTGGGGAAGGATGAGTGAAAGACAGAATCAGAAGAGGGAATACACAGAACCACAGGAAAGAAAAGTGTGGGAGACAGGGTTCTCAGGCATCTAGGGCTACTTGTAATGAGTGGCTTAAAAGAGGATAAAGGGGCTAGGGATATAAATCAGTGGTAGAGTGCTTGCCTAGCATGCCCACGCCCTGAGTTCAATCTCTAGCACCAGAAAGATGGAAAAAAAAAAAAAAAAGGTTTTTAAAATGAGGATAAAGTATACACAATATTGGCATTATTTTAGAAAATTATTTATAATAGGCAGTTATTTTAAGAGACAAAAGGGGGCCCAGGCCTTATTTACAAAATTGACCAGGAATATTTAATCAATGGAGTATATCTGGATATTTATGTACATTCTATGCAGGCATGCTTCTTGATGTTCTGCTAGCTATTCTAAACCTACAGTATTAAACTGAAGAAAATGTATGTAAGGGCAAAAAGGTGGCACATGCTCCGTTTTATGTCATTCCTTGTTAATAGCTTTGGTGAAAGACTGCTGACAGAACTGGATGGCTACAATGAGCATTGTGAATCACTCCAATAGGATAATTTGTTTATTCAAATTGGATAATTAGAAGTCTTTTATACTCATATTCATTCACTCTACCAATTTTATTATATGTAACTATATAACACAGCAACACATATACAATTGTTATTTTAATAAAATTAAATCCAGCAATATTAAAATATGGAAAAGGGTCATGGGTAAAGAGATGATAACGAAAGTAAGAGTTTTTTTTAATGGGTGGAAAGAATATGCAAGTTCTTTATGAAGTAATATTAGCTGGGCCTTTTCAAGTAAGCACTGCCTATTAAAATATGAAGAGAAACTGAAATCACTTCAATGATATTACCTGGCCTTTATAAAATTAAAAATGCTGAGTAAGAGAAGGGACAGAAAAGGTAAAAAGGGAAGAGCAAGAGAAAAGGAGATAGGAATCCAAAAATGAGAACTAAGAAACATGTTTCATGTTCATTATTTCTTCTGAACACACAAAGAATGACTTATTAGATGTCTATTCTACCTACATCTTTCTAGTTATTTATATATTTTTGGCAACTAATCTATCTCCTTCATTGAATCACACCTTTTCTTCTCTTTCCTTCCAATTATGTCTGTTCTTTGCCAAGGTAAGTCTTTATTTTTTTATGTGTAGATGTGGATGATTTTATGGCCCTCCTAAACCAGAGTGATATTAATCACCAATAAGCAAATGAGTGACTTGGATGTGGAAGGATTTTGACACTAACAGTTTGAGGAGTAAAGTAATAACAGTATGTGGTAAGTTCTACAGTTTTTTCTTTTAATTTAGAAGAATAGAAAGTGTCCCTAGAACTTGATGCCTGTGTTTGTTACATTCTATCTGCCTCTCCAGACCTATACTATTCTCTGCCCTCACTCCTTTATTATGTGCTTCAGGAAGCTGACCTCTACAGAAAATACCAAACCAATCTTTTCCTGCCTTCAAATTAGACTTAACCAATAGGGACAGTGGCAAGAAATCAGAATGCAGAAGAGAGACAGGGTATTTATTCTCTCCTATTTCTTCCCTGGGGCCCACTGTGCTTTGGTAGAGGTTGTGATCTTTTGTATATAACCACAGCAACTGTCATGTAGCCTCTCCTGCGACTATAATTCTCTCAGTTCCACAAACCTTGCTTTCTTCCATTGCCCTAAAGGTCTAGGTTATAACTGTTTTCTGCTGCTTCTAGTTCATGGGTGATTCACCACCCTTTGATGGGTCCCTCATGCTGCCCACACATCTATAAGTTGTCCCTTCATCACATTATTTGATTAATCCACTGAGTATACTAATTGTTTTCTACAAGAGTGATATGATTTCCAACAGCCTCTAGAGGCCATTTGCAGGACCAGATCTACACAATTCAATTTCTTCTCATTCCAAATTTCTCACCTTAACTCAATATTTCTTTTACTGTTCCTTAGTGAAAATCCAGCCATATCTTGTGGACTCACTCTATCACAATAGCCTATCGTGACATTAGAGGACATTTAAATTTACTTAAAGTTTATGATTACTAAAGCTTACATTTGTACAATGCAACTTTAATTAAAATGCAAAAAAAAAAAAACTTGATAAATTCAGGAATTTGCTCAGAAAATGGAAGTAACTTTTCATCTGACCTCTTTCTCCTTGTTGAGCAACACCAACTGGCTGTCTGTGAGGATGCAGTACTTCCGCTCCCATGTTGTTGTCTCAGTGTAGGGTGATTGACCACAAGACAAACGGTGGGTGGGTGGTCCTTTCACATCTGTATGTGGGAAGAGAAAAACAAAAGTAACAAATCATTATCATGCTTAGTAAGCCAGTATTTCAAGTGTAAGATTCCTCAAAGTCAAATTAATAGAGATGAGTCTAGACAGGATAAATTGAACTCAATGATAAACTGAAAACTTCCTCCTCAGAAACTAAAAACTCATACGCAAAATAAGGAAAAACTGGCTCTACAATCTTCTGAGATGGCTGAAACACACTAAGAAGAACTACTAACACAAACTTGATATAGTAATCTCACTGTATTTATACTAAAATAATGGGAGGTTGCTTCAGAGCTAAACCAATACAATTCAAAAAAGAGGTAGATTCCTGAATATACACAGCAAAAATAAATAAAGAGGTGATAAGGACAAAAGATTTAGACTCTAGTCTTTAGAAGGAAGATAATGTTACACGTACACTTAGAGAATATCGTTGAAGAGTAAAGTTACTAGCAGAGTACATCTACACCCTAAGAATTGGAAATGTTTGAACAGTAGCATCATATTACCACTAGAGGCCAGTAAGGTCTTTGAAAAATAGAAACCAAGTTCCTCAAGGAAAATTCTAAATGCATTTTCATTGTTTCTTATAGGTGTTTAAATGTATTTTTATCCTGTTTCTTATAAAGTGAAATGTTTCAACAATTCTCAAATGTTCTTTTTAAAACTTATCTATGTATTTATTTTTGTGGTGCTGAGGATGAAGACCCCAGGGCCTTTTACATCACGCACAGCAAGCACTACTAGAGTGACAACCTTACCCTTTTGTCTTCAATGACAAGGTCTCCCAGCTACATTTCCCCAGGGTGGCCTAGAACTCACCATCCTCCTGCCTTTACCTCTGTGGAAGCTGGGATTACAGAGTGTGCCATCACACCTGGCCCTATTTCCTTTCAAATATCAACTGATTATATTACAATGATATTTTAAATTTTTTACAGTGAACTGCTCACTCACTTGAGTTGTTGTGAAATGTGGAACACATCTTAATCACAAATATACATTAGCTCTACTGAATGAAGGCTTTATGAGAGCTCAATATATATGAAAAGTTCTTTACCTATGAATAACTAATTCCTCTCAAAACATACTGCAGTGATTATCTAAAATGCTTTATGCATTACTGTTCAGTCATGAGCTTTAGGAGCAACCCACATTGAAGAGATTAGAAAACAAACATAAGTTCAATAAATCCAAATGATTTCCTGAATGCCACATTTCTGTATAAAGTAAGCAATGAGTCGGGACTCAAAGTAGTTAGGTGTATGTCTCTCTTCTGACATCCCCTTATGGGTCCAATTTTATCTTATTGTTCCTTCAGGTTTAACTTCCTATCCTGTGTAAATCTAAACGTGTTGCTTTTCATATTTTAGGGAGTATTTTACCTTCCAAAGATAATTCCAGGTTCAAGAACTAACAATGCTCCTAGGGCTTGGTTAGGCATGTTGCTAATTCTTAGGAGTTGACTACTCCAGCCCCAGCTTAATTTTCTGCTTCGATCCCTTCTGCATCATGCATAGCACCGTTATACACTTTATTTATAGCATGTCCCTTCCACATCTCCATTTCTCCCTGTGGAGTCTAAGCATCTTAAATTATATTTACGTTAGCACTGCACCTTAAATAATTTTAAAGTTTTTCAAAGTTATCATGAAAAGCTTTAAATAAGTTGGTTTTTAACCCTTTAAACACATATATGATCATTTGTCCAGGTCTGGTGGCTCACACCTGTAACTGAGCTGCTACTCAGGAGACAGATATAGGAGGATAATGGTTCTAAGTCAGTCCAGGTAAAAAATTAGCAAGACCGTGTGTCAAAGAACAAGTCAGACATGGTAGTTCATGCCTGTGGTCCCAGTTACATAGGAGGCATAGGGCAAGGATTGCTGTCTGAGAACAGCACGGATAAAAAGAGTGAGATCCTATTTGAAAAATAACTAAAAGGAAATGCACTGGAGGTATGGCTCAAGTGGTAAAATGCTTGACAAGCAAGCATGAGGCCCTAAGTTCAAAACCCAATACCACCAATAAACAACAACAAAATTGATTATACTGAAATGATTTAGACAAATGTTTAGATTTTTATCACAATATAGGCTTGTTTCTAGAATCAAATACAGGATAGGAATAGAGAATTTGGCCCTATTTCACCTTATTTATTCCACCAATCTTTTGTTTTCTCACTCTAGTGTCTTACTTCTAATTTCTGACTTCCAATTACTTTTAATATCCTTTTCACTAGAGAAAAGGATAACTAGCAGAATCAAACGAAGAATCTTAACAGCAAAATTAGAAACAATTTTAGATTTGCGGTGTCCCACTCCTATGAGAATACTAAGAACATTACATGCTGGCCTCATTACAAAATTAAATAATTTAAAAAACATTACAAAAGAATCTGAGGTAACTCAATGGATTCCTAGAGACAGTACCACCTTTAAGGTCAACATTATTCTGTATATTAACAGTTCTCAAACTTTACTTTCAAGATATGTTGGGACTCTTGAAAATTATTGAGAATGTCAAAGAGGGTTTGTTTATGTGGGCTGTATACATACCTAACATATTAGAAACCAAAAAAGAGAAATTAAAAAAAATATATAATCACTTAACACTAACAAACATATTCCATGTTAACATAAAAATACATTGCTAAACAAATGTAATGATTTTCAAAAAAATTAGGACACTGATACTATTTTACATTTTTGCAAGTCTCTTTAAAGGCTGGCTGAATAGAAGACATCCTCATTCTCATATCTGTTCTACACTTAGTCTATGGCTTTATATTGTTCTGGTTGATATGTAAGGAGAAAATCTGGATTCAGATATGTAGGTAGAAGTGGGAGAGTATTTTTAAATAATTATGGACAGTATTCTTGTCTTTTGAGTGTCTCTTTTACCCCATGTGCTCTTCCGTGAGTTTTTAAGCATCATACACTGATCATTTAGAAAATATTAGTAAAATCAGATTTGCAGATCTTCCAAATATTGACACTTTGCACTTTCATACTACCAAAAAAAATCACATTCACTAATCTTCACACAAGCCTTGATCTCATCAGAAAGGTCTTTATATACTGGGAAACTGTAAAGTTCAACATAGCAAATCCAAGTTTTCCAAAATTCTAAATTTCATTTTAGTCATACATTTTTTTGGCAGCACTGGAATTTTGAACTCAGGGTTTTGTGCTTCCTAGGCAGGTGCTCTGCCACTTGAGCCATGCCCCAGCCCTTCTGGCCTTAGTTCTTTTTCAGGTAGGGTTTCCCATTTTTTGTGCAGGCTGCCCTTCCTTGTAGCTATCCCAGGTATGTGCCACCATGCCCAGCTTTTCTGTTGAGATGGGAATCTTACTATGTTTTTGTTTGGGCTGGTCTCGAACCATGATCTTCCTCATCTTCACTTCCCAGGTAGCTGTGATTACAAGCATAATCCTCTGTACCAGCCCTATTTAGTAACAGATTGTATCATTAGCAAGAAGTACTGTTAGTTGTTTCTTCTGAGGTGATAGGCTTATATCTTTCTAGGTTTCTGTCTGCCACATTACAAACACAGAATAACCATACTGTGTCTTTTGGGTTTTTTCAAATAAAAATAGCTTTAATTTAACAGCTGGGGGGTACTGGGGTCCTAGGGTTCCACAGATTTTATGTTTAAAAATCACTGCTTAGACAATGGGAAGCCAATGAAGGGGCTAAGAAAATGTGGCCAATTTTATCAAGTGAAGTTAAGAGAACAGAGGTCTTGACAAATGGAAGACTAATGTAATGGACTGGGTGAAGGGATGATTAAATTCCCTACTAGTTTAGTCACAGTGAAAATCGTAAGAAAGGGACTGTATGATCCAACGTTTGAAATAGGAATCAAAATGAGAGTAATTCTCTAATTATTTATGGTGGAAGAATAGCACAAAAGACATGAGAAAATAATAAAGCAATTCATACAAATATAACTTCATAACTGCTCATAGTTTATGTTAATGTAATTCTACTTTGGTTTTAGCAGGGAAGTCCAACACAGACGGTTATCAAAAAAAGCGAAGAAAACTTAAAAGAGAAGCTCATTTAAAGAAATCAATGCAATCCATTATTACCAAGTAATTTCAAAACAACATTCAAAATACTAGGTCATTTAGTACACCAGTAAGTCTAAAAAATCAAACTCTGGAAACTGAGTAAGTACTCAGCAAGAAAACAATAAGAAGAAACTACACTTACATTAATCCTTTTGTCGGGAGAAAGCAGCATCAGGTCCTCTCACATTATGATGATAAATGAAACTTATATGATAGAGCTAGAAATTCCACTAAGTGTATATATATGTAACTTTTTTTCTTAGGAGGGAAGTAACTCTTCTCTTCCAGATTTATTAAAGTATCAAAATATTTATAGTAGGGGAGTAAGTAGAGATCTGCTTGGAAGCAGAATCAAGGGTAAAGGAGACTGAGATTCCATGATGGCGACTAGAGGAAGGAAGCAGAAAGCGTGCTTCCTAAAGTAAAATCCTGGAGAGACGCTGGAGATACACCTTGCAGGAAAAACCACCAAGAAAAGGCAAAACTCCAACACCTGCACACCCCCAACCCACACATAGCATCCCCACTCCACATTAAACAGAGAAAACAGCAGGGCTCTCACACCGCCAGATGCCAGCGCCTAATCTGCTTGGGAGAAGCAGACCACCAGGAACTAGGGGGAAATGAAGAAATCAAATACACAGATCCAGACTCCAACAAAACGAAGATAACCTATGCCAAAGAACCCAATGATGCCCACAAGAACACTCTTAAAGGAGAAATCCTGCAAGTAATCAATGAGAATTTTATAGAGATGATACTTGATATGGTCAACCAAAATGTACAGGAGACACTCAAGAAATTCCAAGACAACAAAAATAGACAATTTGAGAAAACACAAGAACAAATAAAAGAAACTACAGAAGCACTGTATAAACACCAAAGTGAAACAAGCAACACAATAAATACATAAATGA